TGCGGGACAAACGAACGAAGCTGCACGCGACGAACGACGAAAAATCCTTCTGCCCGCAGACCGGCGACCTGGGAAACGGCCCGCCCCAAAAACACCCGCCCTGAACACAGAAACACCCGAACAGCCCCAACATCCTGAGCATCAGAACGCGCGTGGGGTGATTCTGGTCTGAGCGCGCCGCGTCATGGTTCGCGCGCTTGGTGTTGTGCGCACCGCGAACGCCTAAGGCTTCAAGAGCAGACGACGCGCTCTGCGGAGCCGCGACTGCCCCCTTGGCGCACGCTTCGCGCACCGCCCCCTCGGCTTGGGCATCAGTGAAAAACTGCCCATCAATGACCCTACCCGTCCTAACAGTAAGATCATCCACGTAGGCAATCCACTCCTTAGTATACTTAAGGCGCCTACCTCTGCCGGGGGCATAGGCCCTATCAACCACAAAGTTGAAATCATCCGGGCCGTTAATCGGGCCAAAGGTGAGGCCGACAGGGAGATATTTTCCTGATCTTGCCACAATGGCCAACACCTCGCGAGCACGCTTGGTGTTCCTAATCTGATTAAACCCACTAACCGCATCCACGAAGGTATACCAAACCGAACCTACTGCGGCGGCGAGCACATCGCTGCCCCGCCGACAATAGTACGTGGAGCGCTTAATTCGGGCATTCACTCGGCGGTAGTCAACCACCAAGCGTCGCTTCCTATGCCGCTTGTAACTGGGCATTTCCTTGGTCGGAAACGGCGCAGATCCCCAAGCCGAGCTGCCGCGGATCAACTGACCCCGCTTGCATTCTTCTTCAAGCTTGTCGTCGACCCATTGCGCGGACTCGCCCCTCAGACTGTGAGGCTGGGACGAGACCGGCGGCCCGGTGGGGATGCAGTCATGGGCGAACTTCCTGACCGTGGTCCTGGTGGTGTCCTCCACCCAGAACCCAGCGGCCTTTCGCCGTATGACCTCCCTGACGGCTGCGATGTCAGCATCGGTCAGCCCTGGTCTGGTTGGTCCAGGCTCGATCTTCAAACCCGACCATACGAGGTCTCTATAGGCCTCGGTGCGCCTAGGATCCTCCGCGACCTTCTCGCCCGCAAGAGCATAGACCTCAAGGTCAGCCCGGACGGAATCCCAGTCCTTGGCGTCCGCCTTGGTCCGCCAAAACGCTTCCTTCTCCGCGGCATACTTATCCACCTCCTTATCCAGCTCGGCACGCTCTGCTGGCGTGAGGTCCTCGCCCGAGCGCACGTCCGGGAGGGGAACGACGGAGAGGGCTGTGGCGCAGCCGCGGCGCTATCTGCACCCGCAGTGGCTGGAAAGCTTTCAACTGCAGCGGTGCACAGCTCTTCTGCGCCCCTCAGACCAAGGTCCTGGAGCGAGGCGCAGAAAGCCGCCCCTATGAGGTTGTAGTCAGCTTGCGCGCGCTCAACGTGCTTGTGCTGCACTGCGCCCAACGCATCCGGCCTACTACACCTCAAACCTACCGATTCTAAGCTGAAATCGGCGAGCCACAGGGCCCCGCTCTCAACGAGGTTGCCGCGGCCACTGGCCCGCGCGAACTGGCATATGTCAGCCCGCACGAAGGCCCAAGGCCACCGTGGCTCTGAGAGCGTCCCAAACAAGGCGCCCCACTCCTCTAGCCGCCAGGGTTCCCACTCGCCTTTTTGTGCCTGCAAACGCAGCGCGACGTGGGCGCCCGCGCGCGTGCGTTCCTGCGCACACCGGACGACTAGCTGGAGGAAAGCCCGGGGCACATTCTTGCCCTCAAGCCCAATCACGAGCACCTTCGGCTCTGTGCGCAAAACAGCGCCGCTTATAGCCTCTAAGTGCTCTTCTGCGGCCAGGTTCCAGGTGATCCCGTAGGCCTGCTTGCCTTGCACAAAAGCTGGAACCACCCTGTACCCGTGCCTCCTAGCCGCGTCGGAGACGACCGCGTCACCCCAAGCAACCTCTAAGACATCGGCAACCCCTCCAAGGAAATACTGCCGGAACCAACTCTCGACAGCACCCGACTCTGGGGAAGCCCTAGGCTGCAACGCGCGGGGTTCCGCGACCAAGAGGTCCGCGAGGGCCTCTTGGATCGAGAGCACACTCGTGCCGGCGCGAGACGCTCGCTCGAGAGTCCTGTCCTGCAACGAATACGCCCCCTTGTCCAACTTTCTGGCCGAGGCTGCAGCAAGCACGCCGTCGCGGTTTAGGTCGATCTTGGAAATGATTTCCTTAACGGAAACCGCTTCGTGGGCCGGACGGGTCCCTTCTGAAAGCGTGAGCGCTCCGTCCTCGGCGATAAATGCAAGCCGCCATTTGACGCGAACCCCGCTGGCGTCGGGGAGATAGCGGTGGACGCCGACCTGCGCACGGGCCGCATCCACCTGCGTGACCCGTCCTAACCTGCACACCTTCGGGCCTCCACCTACACCCCGATAGGCGATGCGGTCGCCAAGGCGGAGGACGAAGTCCCTCCCGCGCCTGGTCAGCGTGAACTCCACCTGCTTGGCGTCGCCTTGAACCTGCTGCCCTAAGCTGGGGCGAGACAAGTCGTCCCCGCCGGTTCCATCGTCCTCAAAGACGACCGGCTCGCGGGATTCCGCGCTATCTGCATCCGCAGGGACAAGAATGCAGTCTTCTGCGTGCGCCTCCATCGGGCCGCGCCGGGCGGAAGAAGTACCCCCCGACTCCATCGACACGGGCTCCAAGGTGAGCCTGTGGCCCTTGACTTCCAACACGCGCCAGGGGCCGGTCAGACCCGGTTTCCAAGGCACACGCCCCGCCCCCTCTGAACGGGCCCTCGGAGCGTTCCAGACCAGTTGTTAGCCAGCGCGCAGACGTCCTCGAACTCCTCGTAGAACAGGACAACGTCTCGCGCGTCCGACTTGTCGTCGGTCAGCGTCGGCCACGTGAGGTCAGTTTTGACCGTCGTTATGGAGCTTTGCCCGCCCCTCTGCGCTAACGCTTCTTTCAGCGCTTCAGTTTGGGCGGCGAGTGCGGCGGCGAAATCGCCCGCCGGGTTTTGGGACCCGGTCTGCGAACCTCCGCCGTCTGAACCTCGCTTCAGGGCTTCTATCTCCATCTCCAGCGCCGCAAGCTTCGCGCGCAAAGGGGAATCGCCGTCCGTCGCGCCCAAGTCACGGGCCGCGGAAGGACCACCTGCAACCTCAGCAGTGCGCAAACCTTCACGGTCCAAACCTACCCCCAACCCACTTGCAGTCGCAGGCTGTGGGAGCCCTGGGGAACGCGGCCCCACGGCTTCAACTGGCACATCGGACGGGGAGCTCCAAACCTTCTCTTGGCTCGAGCTTTCTTTTCCCCCTAGCGCGAGGATAAGCTCCCCGATGCATTGGATTTCACGCTGAATCTCCTCTGCGTCTTCGGGGTCCTCGCCACCGCGCAAAGCCGCGACCGAGAATCTGGTCCGCAGCCGACGGACCATCTTTGTCGGATGCCAGTCCCCGCCTATCTTGGAGAACTCATCCGCAAGGAGGGTGGCTTTGGTGCTTAAGGCGTCAAGGTCACGGGAGCTCACCGTGACTCCATGCGCCTTCAGCGCGAGGACAATCCGCGAAACGCGCGTCAAGTAGTCCGCGACCGGTTCCTGGTCTGGACGGAAAATCGCGCGCAGCTCCGCCTGCCCTCTGCGGTGCCTGGCACCGAACCTGCTGTCGACGGCGGACCGGACGGTCCCGCCGGGCGGGACCCTGGTGCCGTAGCAGGGACATAGGCAGCACCGGTAGGGACCATGGCCAGCTCCCTAGCCGCGGCGCTGACGTCCACCCGCGGCGGACTGTCGCCTCCAGCGCCCGAGGCCTCAGGGACTAGCTCGGAGTCCTCTTCTTCTTCCTCCTCATCCTCGTCCTCGTCTTCTGCGTCATGGAGGAACTTCATGACTTTCCGCCAGAGAGCCGCCTCTTGCTCTGGCGTAGTACTGATCCCATCCCGCTTGGACAACGGACGGCTGCCAGTCTCCCTACGCCACTTAAGCCAAGCGACGTAGCTCATCCGCTCGGGATAGGGAACGTCTCCACCCTCGATCGCTTCGAGGAGGGTGACGCCCTCGGCCTGACCTGCAACCTCTGCGGACATCGCCGCGCCTTGGTTAGCAGGCCGCAGGCGTGGCACACGAAGCGCCGCGCCTTGGTTAACAGGCCGCAAGCGTGGCACACAGTCCACGCGTCCAGGTCACGGACCGCGACAGACAAGCAAAGCAATGCTTGCCCACTCGGGCCGTAGGCACAAGAGCTGTAAGCTTTCCCAGAACAGCCCCCAATTGTGAAGTCGACCAGCACTGGACTTGCACTAAGCCAATGCAATCACAGCCCGGTCACGCTGTTTTACGACTTCGCGAGTTCAAGCACTTGTGCTGCTACGCCTGAGTGCGTCCGGTCGGACCGCACAGCAACCTAAGAGCTACTGTACGACACTACCGTGCTCAAAGGCACAAGCTCGGTACTTGAGCCAAAACATTGGCATTGTTACGAATTGCAAAACTACGCATGCAAGGAAAACTACAGTACTGGTCCTGGCAGCTTTGCACTTGCAGCGTGCGTGCATAGACCTGCTCACAGTATGTACACAATCCGTATATACATGAGCACATATATATATATATGTATGTATGTATGCATGTATGCATGTGCTTTTGGCAGACATCGTTTGTTGCTTCCTTGTTGGGGTGGAGGACGTTCGGGCTTCGGAGCTGAAGGCTTAGGCCTGGGCCTGCTCGGTACCTGAACCTGCCCTTTGGCCCGGCTGGAAGAACTCGCCCTAGGCAGGTCAGCCGTCTAAATGCCTATATACAGAAGATTGTCGAAACTACATAGCGGGAACACGCCATGCTCAGGAATCTATCAAGAGCACACCTGCTTGAAGCCTAGACATTCAACCTACATGGACTTCAACAGTATTTAGACCTAGACCACTTGTCTGCAATTGAGCTGACAGGAAGCTTAAATGCTCGGATGTGCCTTGCGATTTCCTGGCTCTGGCTGGAAGCAACTTGCTAATGCCAGGCACCTCAAAGGTCCTTGCTCAGTTGGAGCTTTGCGGCTAGCAGCGTGCCCTTCTCCGTGAGCGTCCAGCCCAGCTCATGTGAGCGGTTTGGCGCCTCGCCAAAGAAGGCGCGCTCGATGTCTGAAGCCTCCCTGATGTGCTGCTTTGCTTCTGGCAGCTCGCCCTTCTCCTTGAACAGCAGGGCCAGCTCATGCACAGTCACAGCCATCTCACGCTTTGCAAACTCTGGGCATTCGTGCTCCATGTCCAAAGCCTCCATGACGAGCCTCTCTGCTTCTCGCAGCTCGCCCTTCTCCTTGAACACCAGGCCCAAATCATGCAGAGTCGCAGCCACCTCCCACGTTGGCGCCTTGCCGAAGATGGCGCGCTTCATGACCAAAGCCTCCGTGAGGAGCCGCTCTGCTTGTCGCAACTCGCCCATCTTCTTGAAAACTAGGCCCAGCCTATGCAGAGTCAGCGCCACCTCCCGGTTTGGAGCCTCTCCGAAGACGGCGCGCTCCATGTCCAAAGCCTTCGTGAGGTGCTGCTCTGCGGCTACCAGCTCGCCCTTCTCCTTGAACAGCAGGGCCAGCTCGTGCAGAGTCACAGCCACTGACCGGTTTGGCGCCTTGCCGAAGATGGCGCGCTTCATGACCAAAGCCTCCGTGAGGAGCCGCTCTGCTTCTCGCATGTCGCCCTTCTTCTTGAGAACTAGGCCCAGCTCATGCAGAGTCGCGGCCACCTCATGGTTTGGAGACTCTCCGAAGACCCTATAGACCATGCCCAAAGCCTTCTTGATGTTCTGCTCTGCGGCTACCAGCTCGCCCTTCTCCTTGAGCACCGTGCCCAGCTCACGCAGAGCGATTGCCAGCTCAGGGCTCTCGGCATGTTGCTCCCTGAGCTGCTTCACCCAAGCCTTAAGCGCGGCCTCGGCATCTGCGGGCCGCCCTTTGGAGCGGCACTGGAGACTGAAGCTCATGATGGACAACAACCACAAGCGTGCAAAATCACTTCGAGACAACCTTTCCGCCATCTCGATGCAGGCGTCGCAGAAGTCGAGATTGCAGCATCGGCATGATTGCCCTCGCCCAATAGGTTCACGGCAGCAATCGCAGATCCAAACAAAATTCCAAGTTTCCTCGAGCTCGCCGTGGAGGGGGCAGGATTTCCTGGAATTACCTTCCATGAGCTGCCATAGCCGCACCCGGAAGCCTTCCTGCTCCTCAGCCACCGGCTCCTCAGCCACCGACTCCAGCAACTCCCCCGTTGCAGTGCCTTGGCCGGGCACTTCGGAGGAGCTCGTGGGCTGCGTGAAGCTGTCGGCCTCGGTCGGGGCGCTGCCTATGTTGCTGCCACCTCCCTGCTGCTGCCGATCTTCTTTGTGGCCGGAGTCTTTTGTGTCAGCCTGCGGCTCCTTTGCATATGGCACCAGGTAAAGCGTCTACATATACACATAGTTATGCCGGTCAATCTCGAATTTCGGTATACTACCCTGACATATCAGACAAGTACAACAGCCAATGCTTTCGTGAGGACTCGCTCAAGACCGCACGCAGGTCAAAATTGTCTGAATTGTACTCCACGCATGGCACCGACTGCCACTGACATTTTCCCGAGTCCTCATCATCAAGGTTCGTTGATGGAGCGTTCTTCACCTGAGTTTTGCAAAGCTGCCAATGTGTTGGGCTGAATAGGACAGGAGGCATGCACGGACTCCCTCTGAACAGAAGTCACAGAATCATGGACTCTGCAATTTCACTGGTCTTCTGACAGGAGAGCTCGCCAATGTCCTCGAATGGAAACAACTCCCCAGGCAACGAGGCGTTGTTCGCACGGAGTGTTGTTTTGCGAACGCATGTGGGGGTGAAAATGCATCGTGTCTGTGCCTGGATCCTTTTGGAGCGTTTACGATGCTCCGGCTCCTTTGTTGCTACACACGACAAGGTTCTTATTCTGGTACAGTTTCAAAGTCAAGCGAAAAGTTGGTTGCTAGCTCGCTGGTGGGGCTGCTGCTCCGCTGGCCTCTTATGTCGCTTATATTGACTGCAGGCAGTCCCCAAATCCGACACGGAGGCCTCGATTTTACAGTGAGCAGCAGACGGCCATGGCAAGCAAGTAGCCCAAGGGAAACGAGGACCACTCGCATACAACAGCCACCACAGCAGGTGGGCCGCTACTTTAGACCTGCGCTGAACCTACGTCACCCCTCAGAAGTCCTGTCGGTACCGTTGATTGCATCTGCAGCAACAATCGTGACCACAAGTCTTCCGGCGGCTGCTATCCTGCCATTCTCTGGCCCTAGTCTTCTACAGCTACCAAACAGTCGAATTCGGCCTACAGCTTGCACTCCAAACCTCAACGATCTCTGAATTGTTGCACTGCCCAGCAGCTGAGATGTGCGAGCGACCACTCGCTCGCCATCGAATGTCGGGATTTTGGTCCTCCCAAGCAGCAGGAACGGCTGTACTCCGCAAAAGTCAGCTTTTCCATGTGTACATCGCACCGGAGGGACTTCGGGCCGGGTACCGTTTCTCGCTTGCACACACAGAAAGACCAATGACTCGACCTCTAGATTCTGAATGGTTCGTGCTGTTTCTCGCGTGCATGCACAAGGAGACCAATGCTTCAACCTATAGGTCGGAATGGCTCAGGAAGGCAACTTCAGTCCACACCGGCAGGCCTGGTGGTAGTAGTACCACCTCTTTAGCCTCTGCACCAACTCCCTGAGAAGCAGCAATATCATCAATCAGGGTGGTTTTGTGGGAAGCGTAGAATTAGAAGGAAGGCCAAGGCACCGGACGGAGAAGGCCGCCCTCCGACATGCTGCAGCGCCAGGCCGATCAAGTTGTAGCACTTCTCTTGCCTGCTGCAAGACCTTGTCGAGCGCCTGCACACAGGGCGGAGCAGCCACGAGAACTGCGGCCTGGGTCGTTCGCACATGTCCTCACGTGAAACCCAGGAGCAGAGATCAAGAGATATAAGAGTTCCCAGGCTGCCCACTCTTAGTCCAGGGAGGGTACTCCCCAAAGAGCATTCGCAATGCTCTCAAACTCTCGGGAGTTTCTCAAGATTTCTGTAGTTGACACCGGCCTCTGGGTCATCCACGCGGGCAGAGTCCGGGTCTCGCTCAAGGTAGGCCCCAAGCAGACGCAGCACCTCCGCAGGGGGCAGCTCTCGAGGCAACCTAAATCTTTAGATGAACAATGCCAAGATAGAGCTCTTCCACACTCCCCGCTTGTTCAGTTCCACCAGGCCTCCTCTACCAGCCGCTTGATCTTCTGAGCAGCTCGGAGGTGCTGCACTGCCCGGGAGAGGTTGGCGACCAGGGCCCGAGCAGCCAACGATTCGATCTCGGCAAAAATCGTCCGAAGCAGCTCCGGCAGCACGGACCAGTCGAGCGACACAACGACAACGGTGACGGTCCCGTTGCGCAGGTCACCTGCTTCAATGGTCTCCTGCGGACATGCCATGACGATACTGGAACTTCGGCAAGCAGTGCACCAACTGCACAATTGCCCCCATGTAATCATACATGCTCTACGGCTCTACGTGCCCTGCAGTCCTCAAGTTGGCGGGTGCTTAATAAGAAACGGAAGGTGGGCCTTGGTGCAGATCCAAAGGGAAAAGACTCGGGCTTGAGGACTACAGCTTTGTTCCTTTTTGTGGTTTAAGATAGGTGAGGCCACAATGCGATGAGTGATGATAATTAAACCTTTCGTATGAAGTATCCATCTCCCGGCCTGTGACAGTCTCAGAGCTTTTGTAAGAAGGGCCTGCTGCACACCGAAGACCTCGAATGTCAATGTAGCGTATTGCAGTATCTGTCTGAGTGGCAACTGAGCTGCACCAGCCCCTGTCTTTTGTTATATCACCCTGAGTTTCAATCTCAGCCGACAAGCCGAAAGAGACCCAGAGTCCTGACAGCAACCCCAAGGTTGAAGCTCGCGAGGCAAACAGCTTAGCCCTGAGCCTTGCATCATAAGCTTCGAAGCCCAGCTTCTTTGCGATGGTCTGCGACAACTCGCCTTGGAGATCTCTGGCTTTCAATCGGCTCAAGGGCCGCTGAGCCCGAAGCAACAGTTACAAACCCTGAACCCAAGAAGGCTTATGGCTTATGGACGTGGAGCCCTGGAGCTCTGGGGTTTGGTCTTGGCCTCGGTGAAAGAAGGGTTTGGCCGGTCACTTTCGGGGGCTTCAGGGTCGTTGGTTTTGTGAGGTTCTGCGTGGGATCAAACAACTTACTCAGTAATCCAAGTCCAGGAGGTAAGATTCCGGTTTGGGTTTGGCCTTTGGGGCTTGTAGGCCTTACGATTTAGGATAGCTATCTGGCGGCTGGACCCAGAAACCAAAGAACAAGTCAGTACCTGGGGCAATTTCGACTTTGAAGTGTCAAGGTTGCTTGTTTTTCCCGGTGAAATTGGAAGCGTGGCCTGCTAGCTCACCAGCCATCTGCTAGCCGTCGTACGCGCCGCAGTCCGCTCTCGCGCCCCTCCAGCTCCGTCCTCCCATACACCCCACCATCAGAAGGCATCCTGGAACCAAGTCCTGAACCATCCGAAACCCAATCCCTGACCCTGCCGACATGATGATCCAAGGATCCGAGGGTCGTGTGGGGCGGGGCGTTGATGTTGGCCCGTTTGCCGCTCGACATTACCACCTGCACGAGGGGGTTAGGTTGTTGGGGTCAGGGCTTACAGAGTTAGGCTACAAGAAAAGACCGTGCAGCATGTAGAGTTTGGGGATTCAGAGGTCCAGCGAGCCGGGCTCAAAAGCGTTTAGCTAGTCCCTGGCAGGCTGTCCACAGCCCCTCTGTTTCCATAAGCCAACTATCATATTATACAGTACAGTATCGTAAGCTGTCACCTGAATATGCGCAACCTGGAATAATGAATAATACTCATACACTATTAAATAAACCATTAGCCCTCTCTGGCCTCGAAGGTAATTTGTTTTGCCATCGCAACAAGAAGCTGAGGCCGCAGGCACCGCAGCAAGTAACTATTGCAGGCGTCCAGAATTATGCAAAATGCTTCGGCTTCCTTGAGCCTTGAGATGCCAAATTCCTTGTCGCCTTAAAAAGGTTGGATTCCACGTACTGGGCTCAGGTTTCTTCGGACAGTCTGTTACAGCTGGGCCAATGCTTACACCAGATGAAGAGCAGCGGTATGTCCCTCAGGGCGTGCCTGGCCCAGAACTTCTAGATGCCCAAAGGGCTGAAATCCCAACATGGCCGATCGGACATACTTGAGTATTGGTAGCCGACTGCATAAAGCAAGCCCAGGATCAACCCTGAAAAAACTTTTAGAAGCCAAAAAACACAACACGAATTCTTCTAGTACCCGAAGCTATGGTCTCCATACGTCATGCAAAGCAAAAAGTTCTTTCGGTTTGCCAGCATGGACCCCGGAACTCCAACACTGTTGTGCAACAGAGCTCCCCTTCGAACCCATCCAGCGACATGGACTGAACTTGTCCAAACCGTAAAGAACCTCCTAGACCCATAAACCCCCTCCAGCCTGTATCAGATTGAATTCTAAAGCACCCTCACGCCGAGCACGCCAGCCGTGGCCTCCAGCTGAAAAGCTGGTCTTGGGATCTATGCTCTCTCGATCAGCTCGCCTGGGTTGCCAAGTCTTCACATCCGATTTCCGTCATTTATGAGTCTTTTTCCCGGCAAGTCGGACGCGGCTTCATGATGGCGTACAGGATTTTGGAGGCTTTGCCAAAGGCTTGATTGCAGCGGTCTCGGGCAATTCGGTGCACTTGAACTCGAAATGCATGACTGGCCGCCGCTCCCGGCATACCCGGCATGCCCGGCATGCCCGGCATGCCCGGCTTGTTGCACTGTCGGCGGCGAAAAGGAGCAAAAACGGGTTTTTAGGTTACCAGGGTGGCCTTTTTTCTGTTAAATTTGTTTTAAAAAACAATATAAGCCGGGCATGCCGGGTATGCCACGCGATATGAAACATAAAGATTTTAAATCACACTTTAGCCGGCAGCGAACGCTCGTTCCCCTCGCTTGTTCACACCACAACATGAAGCCACAGACTGAAAGAACAACACAATGCGAGAGCATCCTTTTTACGTCTGCTCGAGCCTGGGGTTGAGCAGTCACGATGTCAAAACTGGAATGGCCGATCGAGCGAACTCCCTCGCTCAACGCACGCCTCCATACTGCAACACTTCGCCAGCGACTCTTCACAAGCTGTGCTGCCTCATGCCTCGAACCGCTCTTCCCGAACGCGTCAAAGCACGGGCGGCAACAGAAATCAGAGCTGGCAGTGAGCAGGTGGCGATAGCCATCCTTCAACACAACAAAATCGAACTGAAACACCCCCCTCATGGTTGGCTGGCTGTTTGATCAGCAGCAACGTAGCTAGAGCAAGTGGCATCGGACACTGAAGCTTCGCGCTCCGCGTCCTCGCCGCCTACATCAGGCTGCGGAGCTGCGGCGCTTTGTTGGCAGGATTGTCGGGGTCGATCTGAAAAGCGGCATCTGGTTGGCCCTCCTCTGGCCTTTGAGGGTCTTGCATGTGGTGGCTCGGTGGAACACACCATGCTTGACCTCTACAGAAATGGCACACTCCCATAGTGCGATCGCACAACGTGCACAATGGGGTTTGCTGACCTCGTGCCCAGCGTTCGCGCGGCACCCGAATGGCTGCGAAACAGGGCTGCCCTAAACCGTCGCAGAAGCAGCCAGTGAACAGGCCGCAGTCCACACACGGTCGGAAGAGCTGCTCCTGAGTGCCAAAGGCCAGGGCCTCCATGTTGACCAATCGCTGCATGATCAACAAAGGGAGTGGAGGGTGGGTTGCAAAAAAAAAACTCTCAACGGGGGCCGCAGACCGATCGTCTTGCAGCCAAAATGGCCACGATCGATCAGCGGCCTCGTGTCACCAAGTGTGAACACACTGCTTGTAAAGTGACCACCCTAACCCAGACCAACCTTACCGGTGTTAGGGAGACCACTTTAGCCGGCAGCGAACGCTCGTTCCCCTCGCTTGTTCACACCACAACATGAAGCTACAGACTGAAAGAACAACACAATGCGAGAGCATCCTTTTTACGTCTGCTCGAGCCTGGGGTTGAGCAGTCACGATGTCAAAACTGGAATGGCCGATCGAGCGAACTCCCTCGCTCAACGCACGCCTCCATACTGCAACACTTCGCCAGCGACTCTTCACAAGCTGTGCTGCCTCATGCCTCGAACCGCTCTTCCCGAACGCGTCAAAGCACGGGCGGCAACAGAAATCAGAGCTGGCAGTGAGCAGGTGGCGATAGCCATCCTTCAACACAACAAAATCGAACTGAAACACCCCAGGCCCAAGTTTTACGACTTAACGGAGCTCGGGCGGCCACTGACATTCAGCCAACAGCCACCCTGCATTGCGACCGATCTCCAGACGCGACCGCGACGGCCAGTCTGCCGGATTCGCATCTGTCGAGATTCGATCGATAAAGGCGTTCACGCCTAACTCAAGAGCGAGGTTCCAGAAAACCTCGACGATCGATGCAACATAAAGGTGTAGAGGGCCAGCACCGGGGCAATCAGCTCGACTGGGAAGATCTGGCTCTTTCGTGGAATCCACTTCTTGATCACTCTCTCGGGGATCGGCTCAGAGACCTGAAAGGGGGCCGGCGATCTCCTATCAAAGACCACAATGCCGATCCGCTCTGGCTCGACGTCGCCCTTCCGGAAGTCAGGCGCGAACCCATCCGTGAAGACCACCACATCTGCCTTACGCTCTGTTCGCAGGTCGATAGGCCTTGGTGGTCCTGCCGAGATGAGCCGCTTCCAATGCTTCAGGCTTCAGTGCGCGCACGATCTGGGGCGTCAGGAGCGAGCGATCACCTCCTTGATCTCGAGAGTACTGGCGCTCAGACAGCGGTCGGAAAAAGGCTCTTCCTACTTTCCCCCAGAGCTGGCTCGCTCCGAACATCAGCTTGCCTTTGAGACTTTGAGCTTGCCCGCCGAGCCAGCGTCCAAGACTCCCGCGATCAGGTACGAGTCGATCAGCTCGATGAGCTCCTGCTTCCTCTCTTTCTTGATCTCGAGAATCATCTGCTCCAGATTATACGTCACCCCGAGGATCACAGGAGCCGCAGTCTTCTGGAGCTTCTTGGCATCGAACTGTGCTCCTAGAAGCCAGTGGACGGTGATCGCAACCTCGTGGGCGCTGTCGATCGTCTCCTCGGTCTCGAAACCGTACTTGTCGTCGTAGAAGTTAAAGGACACGAGCCCGAAGATCTTCTCGAGGATCTCGTTAACGGCCGCCGAACGGCGGTTGTAGTTGTACACCGCCGAGACGAGGCCGAAAGAGTGACCTATCATCACGAAGAACTTTGTCACGCCCGAGGAGGGGTCCTTTAGACAGATCACGCTGAACTTGCGGTGGCCAGGGGCTATCGGAACCTGCCGATAGGCTTTCCTCTCATCCAGGACCCACCCCCGCATCTTCTTGCCACCACAGCGCGTCCTGAGCTCGCGCAAAGCCGCCACGTTCAAGTCCGTGGACGGCAGCTGGAGCTTCTCTACGATCTCGGTGATGCGGTTGATCAAATTCACAGTAGCGCTATCGCATCCTCGGACCTTATTCTTCTGCACCACTGCGAACCGCTGAGTGGGGATCCAGTTGTCCGCTCCCACAAACTGAGACACCTCCTCGATCGAAGAGAAAGGTCCTGCCGCTGACGATGCCCACAGCGAACGTAGATCGTCCGAGACAGGGACGCTGTCCGCTCGGAGAATGACCTTCCTTCGAATCTCCCAGGCCCGATCCATTGCTTCCTGCACAGGGATGACCTTTTGTGGCTTCTCATAGGCTGGCCATCTGTGCGACGGCAAGATCCGGCCCACTATAGGAAAACCATGCAGCAAGCACTTGACCAGATCTTGATCCGGCGAACGCACAAATCGCAAGAATCGATCGTACAGTGCAACATGGCATGTGCGACCGAGTTCACATGGATGACCGTCCGGAGCGCCGCGAAGCAAGCATCGAAGGTGCCGATCAGGTACTTGTTCAATCCAAGAGGCTGTAACTGGCAACAGTCGATGCGCTTCACGGCGCCACCATGCAGTCCAGATCATGGCTGCGAGCACGTGGCACTGCATGACCCTGGAGAGCCACAAGGTTGATGTTCCGTAGCATAGTCTCTGTCAGTGGCGGAGGAACAGAGAACGGGTGGGACACCTGCAGAGCCCACTCGACGGCAACGCCCGGCTCCACTTCGTGTGAACTTTGCTTCCTCGCCGAGCGGGCGCTTGCGGACATCATCTTGGTGCACCAGCTTGAAGGACTTGGCAAACTGGGGCGTGCGACCGCACAGGATGTGGTGAATGCAGCGAGCCAAGGCCGAACACAACTGCGGTGGATAGACCTGCGCTTGGCGTGCGCGGAACACCCACTCACCTTGTGGACACGATGGCGTCCACGCAGCGGCACATGCCCATGTCCACCTGAGCAACGCAGACCTACTTCGTTGAGTGCTGCGTGGGACACAAGGAAGGCAGTCGGCTTCATGTGCTCGGAACCGAACTGGCATTGATCACAGACCACCCACTGCAAACGCCATCGCTTCACGAGATGGCGTAAGCGTGGGACTCTCCACATCAAGCTGTTGGCGGGATTCTCGAGCACGAAGTCGGATCCTGCGGCGAGCAGCAACTCGATAAGGTCGAGTGACAGCGCCAGAAGACGATTGCCGGTGTCGACCTGAGCCTGTTCGTTCATGGTTAGCTGCCCGAGCCCCATAGGATGCGCTTTCGAACGAAGCGGCCTGGGGCCTGGACCCGGGATCTTCCTTGCATTGCTGAAAGAACCGCATGGGGTTCCAAAATGCACCAGACGAATGGCTCCTACTCGAATGAGCTGCATGACAAAGGCCAGCAATTCAGGATCCTCTATGTCCGCTGCCTGGAGCACGTTGCCCTTAACTTCAATCTCGATGGGTGGGAGGGTGGGGACCCCGAGCGCACGAAGTTGCTGCGTCAAGCCCGCTTCTCCGGCGAAGATCTCCAGGAAGAACGGACCCCGCACAGCGACCTCAGCCACATTCCTGGGAACATCCGACCATTTCTTCCAACATGCAGATGACTCGCCCCGATCGGACTTCAGCTGTGAACAAACAGCTTCAACTGCCGACCGCGGCACAACATCTATGGTGGGAGCAAAGGCTGCCGACCGTGGAGGCTCCCAGCAACCCGGTGGCTTTTCGAGCGGCTCTCAATGGTTGCCATGGTACGGGTGCTGTTGCCCGCACGCCACACACACATGGCTGTCTCTGCAGTTGTCGCCAAACCGGCAGCCCAACGAGCAGTTGTACCATGGGCATCTCTTCTTTCCTGAGTAGGAGAACGACAAGATCTTCTTCCATTCTTGCTCCGGAACACGGGAATCCTTGGTTGACTTTTGTTTGGTGCGATCGCCCCTCTGCTCCTTGCCTCCCTTCTCAGGAACCGTCTCTCTGTCCTTCTCTTTGGCCTGCTTGAGCAAGAGTTTCATCTTCTCACGGCGGGTTGCGCTTCGTCTTCGAAGTCTTAGTCGGGGGCGTCAGCGGGCTGCGCGACCGCGCCCGCTTCTTTGGCGTCTCCCCCACTTCAGCTTCGATCTGCCGAAACTTCTCGAGCTCAGCAGCCGATCTCGCATCATTCCACAGCTGCTTGTAGTTGGTGAGAACCTCGAGCAAGGCCGAAGAGAAAGTGCCGAACGACTTTCGACGGTCGTTGTTGAGTGCGCAGACCTTGCGGCGAATGAGCCGGTCGGCTGCCAGCAGGACCGCCAGCCCCGATTCTCGTGCCTCCATTCTTCTAGCTCTGCGAGGTAGCGTAGGGGACCTGCTGCAGTCGAGAACTCGCAGACGTTCAGGTACTCGAGAGCCATGAAGAAAGCGTGCAAGCGGTCCATGACATTCGACTCGGAGCTCACGGCGCCCTTTGCATCAACTTGAACGACCCGCAATAGATCTTCAGACGTTTTGGCCAGGTTGGCTGTCTGGACGATCGTCTCGCTTCGAACTCTCATCTCTGCCACTTCGTAGAAGGCGACCGCGCCATGCACCATATAGTCCCGGTGGATCCGCTCGACGAACTTTCTGTGCGGCTCACGGTGATACGTGAGCAGCATGTCCGGATGTGCTTGAACAAAGACTTCCCGAAACTCCGCGTGGTCCTCACCCGGGATCTCGGGCACTTTGTTGGGCTCCTCTTCCATCCTGGCCCTTCTAGCAGAGACGTGCTCTTGCAGCGTCGAGGCTGCCTTCCAAACGGCCGCCAGCTGCGTGAGCGCGAGCTCTCGCTTCGCCGCAGTATTGCCAAACTTGGTCTCGTCATCCACGATCGCCTTTACGGTCGTCTTGACGGACGAGATGGAAGCACCCAGCATCGCCAGCCGCTCGATCGACGTCAAACCCGAAGCCGCCAAGAGCAAGCACAGGTCAGACTCTAGCTTCTGCCGGCCGAAGATCTGGCAAACTGCGAGCTCTGGGACTTGATCTTCAGGGTACTTGGTGCGATCCACCATGGGTCCTTACAGCGTCGGGAGTCCTAACCCACGCAGAGCAGCCTATTGGACGAGCCACAACTGCAGAGGCGACCTTACAGAACCTGAGCAGGCACGTGCTTCTTAACAACAAATTAAGGCCAAAAAGAAGCAGCGAGCAGCCCCTTCCCAGGCCCTGATTAACAAGAAGACTGCAGGTCAGAACTGAACGTTGTGCGCGCGCGCCACGTCCGGGCGTTCACGCGCACAATGTTTGCACAAAAGGGTGACGTCAGGCAGCAGGTCGCCGATGTGTTCACAATCGGCGGCCGTTGTGCGGCCACATGCGATGGCATTCAAGTCGTCTGCAGCGCAAACGTGGATCTTGTACTCGTAAGAGGAACCCTTCTTAGGCGTCTTCATAAAGAACCCCACGATCGAAGGCTCGACCTCGATACCATCATCGACCAGGTCATCTTTGCGGACGCATTTAGAAACACTGCCTGGCGGTCACAGTCTCTTTGACCATATTGGCTGGCACCGAAGTTCGAGCACGAGCGTACTTGAGGACGAGCGGGCCAGGATTCTTCCAATTTGCCTGTAGTCCGATGGCATCTGGTTGCTTTCCTTGCTGGACTGCCTGGTCCAACAGCGTCACACAAGCCGAGTGCCAAGTGAGCAGCAAGATCTCCGCAAGCACCACTGCTAAGACACCATTCTCGTTTGCCACGCGCCACACCAGGTGATGTAGCCATTGCAGCGAACGGGCATAAGTTGGCGGATGAGCAGCAAAACGATCAGCCGAGTAGAGTTCTGGTAGCCAGAAGTCTTGATCGAGATTGTCTTTGAAACAACCGTGGAACAAGTTCCAGCCAACTTGCAGCCATTCAACTTCTGAAAAGGAAACGCAAGGCACCAGAAACTTGGTACCCCGGCGCTTTCTTTCAGTCTTCGTTCAAACACGTGGCACAGCTACTGGGGCCTAAGGGACCTCAAGTCAAGGTTACACTCAACCTCACAGCACAAAGCGCGGACTCTTTTCTTCACTGCGCTGTTCACAGTTACTCGAGCTCCGCTCGGCTTGAGCCAATGCGAGCACGGCTCTCCAGCTTTAAACACTGTCTGCCAGACATGGGAAAACAAAGGTACTTCAGGTAAACACTCAGCCATGGAACTTCTACTCCTAAACACTGTGGGTAGGTTCCTAGCACCTCTTAGGTGCTCTGCTGAGCTCTGTGCAGACCTAAACTGGCTTGAGTCACTTCTGGTCACCAAATACTAGGTCACAAACAGGAAACGAGTTCCGACAAACGAGTTTCGAGAAAACGAACAGAAAACGGTTCTTCCTACTCAAAACAAGGTCTCACCAAGCCAAAAGAAATCTGCACTGCCTGACATGTCCTCGTGCCTATGCTTCACACTCATAGCAGACAACTCAAGTGCACATCACGTGTCAACTGGGAAACTAGGACCTAGGAGGGTCACATATATCACTCGAAAGCGGGCAACGTCGCTAGCCAATTAGGCTCTTCGGGACCAAAGCCCCGGAAGTTAAGGTGAAACAGTGAGAACAACTACTCTCGGGAATGCCTTGGCCTGCTAAACACGGCCGTGCTTGTGAAGGCATCCGAGATGTTACGGAAAGCTACGGGCAGGGAGAACCTCACCATCCCTCAGAGTCTTTACAGACTTGACAAGATTCTCGCCGCAGCACAGGGAGAAACTCACCTTCTGGCTCATCGCAGATCACTGAAACAGGGCCCTCCCGAGTCGATAATGCCCTGTTCGCTGAGATGGCTCCAGAAGGGCTGACACTCCATTAACAGTGTTTCCGCGCACCACCTTGGGTACACGCCAACGTGTCTGAGCTTGTCGCGCAGCCAGCCTTGGCGTGAAGGGCTGAAATCCGCCACAAGCGACCAAAAGCCTGTCCAGCTGTGTTTGGCTTCCTTTCCCTCCCATGTCCATTCATTCGTGTCGAAGAAAATGAGCCTCGGATGGGGGGAATTCGCCGTGGTACGACTCACAGCTACATTTAGTGGTCCCAAATCGCGGAGGGTCCACCCTGCAGCTCGAAGATAGGCCAAAATGATGGCCATGTAGCACAAGAACTGGAAACAACTCTGGCTTCCAGCGCCGAAACGGGTGAGAACCTCAACCCCTGGAACACACCGCTCCTGCAGCGACATGTAAAATGGAAACACCTGCTCTCCGCCCCTCCACAGCAGGCGGATTCGCACAAGCCCATACCAGTAGACCTTCGCCGTTAACCGGGGAAAGATATTACTGATGCGCTCCTCTTCGGCTTGGCTTTCATCCGAAAATTTCCACACCAGGGGAGCCGATTCGGCTACATAGGCTACTCGCGTACGGCCGAACATGAGCATAGTCAGATCCATGGTGTCCCGGACATGGAGGCTGTGGGTGATGTCATGGATCATGACTAGGTTGACAGGAAGATAGTGCAGAGGTTCCTTTGGCTTGCCGCGGTGTGCCTTCCACTGGCCTTGAAAGTGGAACGCGACTTCCAGTGGGTCTGCCCTCCGACGCTCGTCTACTGCCACTGCGTCGTTTCTTCCAGAACTAGCCGCTCTATCTGTCTGAGGGTTTGCTTCACGGAGGACTATTGATCCTTCATTGGATGCTTTGTTGTCCAGGGGCCGCCCTGAGCTCTCGGGAGAGCTTGCGGGGTCATGAAGAGAGGTGAGATCCTCAACCTCCGCGTGGGCATCAGGGCGCCCAGGGTTCGATGAGGAGGAGTTTGGCAGAGGAGCCGCGTTTCGGGAGAGAACCTCTTCCCTTCTGTGCCCGCTTGAATCTGAGGAGCTTCTTAACTTGACCCTTCGTTCCCAGGGGGAAAGCTGATCGGAGCGCCACTCCTGGGTTGCATCCGAAGGAGCTTCGGCCACGTCTTCCACCTGGGCTCGCCTGCTTGGCGGAGGAGCAGGTGGTGTAGGGCGTGGTGTTGAGTTCGCCCGGAAACGCGCATCGCTTTCCGCTAAGGAAAGATGCCTAGCATGGCTCCTTGCTTTACTCCTGGAAATCGAACCAGGGCTTTTTGTAGGGAGATCTCGCGCGCTTCTTTCCATGTTCACCTCCCTTGCTGCATCCAGCTCTTCTTGTGGCAATCTTGATTGCTTGCCTTTGAGGCCTTTGGATTTGCCGTGTCCTTTATTCCATCCTTTTCCCATAGCTCACTTCCTAAAAGAGAGAGCGGTTTGTGTCAGGCCATCCTTTTTTGCTTTGGCTTTAATTTTGGCTTTAGACTTGGGAAAAGCGGGTGTGGTCTGGGGAGGCAAAGGAGGAATCTGAGGGAGAGACTCTCCTGTGCTGCTACTTGCCACTGCTTCACATGCACTGGTGTTTGAAGGCACAACGGCTGCGGGATGGGGCGAGCAACTCTGCCTCAAGCCGAAGAAGGCTTTCACGCCAGCCTTGGGGTCTAGGCTTCTTTTTTGGGCTTCTTGGAATTTGCTGTTAGGCTTCTTGCAGACCTGACTGCACCTGCCTTGACATCCCGGTTTGGCCTTTAGGATTCTGACAGCTTGGAAAACTCCACACTTTTTGCATACCACTGACTCTCCAAGGTTGATCATGTGGTGAGACACGTGAAAGCCCCACGGAGTCGAGGTGGGCACAGGCAGACTCTGGCACGGGAACTGAAGAACATGCACAACCACCTCATGCGGATCGACTTGTTGCACGTAAAGCCCGCACCCTTCGCACTTGATGCACAGGTTGTTGGTGCTTTCTCCGCTAGAGATTTTCCAATTGTGCATGGTCTGAGGATTGGCCTCCTTGACTGCATGCAAAAGAAGCTGTTTTTTGTTGGGTCCTTTTTTGGAGGGAAGCGCGGCCTTGGCCTTAGCCTTCCTCTCAAATTTGACCTCATTTGCTGAGGGCAGCGGGCAGTTTGCGAGGAGGAACTCAGCTCGCTTTCCTAAGAAAGTGGAGATCTCTCGTGCAGCGCTGTCAATTTGCCTGACGTTTGCCACATGCACTTGTGACAAAATCTCATTTGCCTTTTGACCGCACAGCCAGTCTGCATGTCTGTTGGCTTCCCAGGCCCATGAGGAGCCGGTGCCATGCCTGGCTGCGTGCTCCTCTTTGGTTAAGTGCCCTTTTGTCCAGACCGGTTTCAATCTATTTCGGTCATCCTGACCTGCGGTCCAAATACTTGGCCAAAGGAAATGGGCGTTGGGGTTTTTAAGTCTAGTGAGCGCAATTTTGCTATCGCAGGCAACAAAATTGTTTTGGTTGGACAAGCCCAAAAGGAAATCAAGTGCCTTTGACTCAGCGTCATTTACCGTGAAACCTACCTGAAGGACCCCCACCGCATACCCTACAATCTTGTAGGCCGGATCCGGCTCCGGGCCTTGCCAGCAGCATGCCGGCAGATGGCCATCCTTGCGCTGTATGGCAACTAAGCTCCAGGTTGCCATTCTGAGCCTGGGATCGGAGGCCTGTGGTCCTCCTGATCCGTCCGTACCAAACCAGACTGATTGGCAGCTCTGTGCCGCTTCTTCGAGGTTTCCTTCAACGGGTTTCGAGGAGAGAGGGAGGGTGGTCAGGGTGCTTGGTAAGCGGGGCTGGGACTAGTCCTCTCAACCAGAAGCATTCTGGTGCATCCACCCTACTCCTCCACTCAGGGTCGGGGCCAATATCGTGCGCTGCCCACGCAGGGCAAGTGTGGAGCGCATGCACAAACGAGTTGGCCCCACCACACCTCGTGCACACCGCGTGCCCGCCATGTCCATTGAAGGCTACAGCGCCTTGCCAGACCATGCGTAGCCCTGATACCTTTAGAGTGTTCCCTTTGGCTTTTTTCAGCAGGCTCCTGTGGGTCGTCCAGTCTAAACCTTGCTCGGCTCCTCCGCCGCCGTGCTGGCTTGCAATTCGCCCCCAACGATCGCGCAGCATGGCTCCTCGCAGCTGCTCCTTCACCTGCTGTGCTGTTCTGGCGTTTCCCCACTCGAGTCTAATGGTGAGCTCGACCATACTTCCATGGCGGGAGCTTCAAAACCCATGTCGCGAAGATAGCACACCATAGCGGCAATCGGGCCAGCTGCTAGTCTCCAGGGGTGAGCCGCTCGCGCAAGTCTTTTCCACGTTACCCCCCATGCTTGTTGAATGCGTGGCGCACACGGGCCATTGATGGCTACGCATCGGCTTAGGCTGTCCCAATGTTCCAGAACGATGCGGATAACCGGGTCTTGAACATTAAACTCGCCCATATCAAAGACCACGTCCGCTGAACCAAGCGCCAGTCTGGTGGAGTGGGACACCGCCATTCCCCTCACCACCTTCATTCTCTTTGGAGACAGCCCTTGGGCCTGATGCCCCCAGGTGCCCGCCGTAAAGGCGCTGGTTTTAAAAGCGCGAATCGCATGCTTTTTCTGGCCTAGCCCTAACCGATGAAGTTTGGCGCTCCTCTTGACCGCTTTCTGAATGCGGCTGTTTGAGGTCTTTACCCGCCTCCTTCTGCCTCCAGACGAATTCGCCCCCAAGTCTTTGACGAGACTTTGCACCTGCGGCTCTTTGACCTTTCTCCTGATACGGAGCTCTTTTTCCGCAGACCCATCCGAGCATACAAAGGCTGACTTCCGGATGCTAAGTTGCAGCCTGGCTGCTCCTAGCTCCAACTGAAGCATGCGGAACACTGCAAGTGCCTGCCTTGCTGCTGCCTGCGGTTCGCGGTGCTCGACATCGACTGAGATGTCATCCAGCCATACATCCATGGACTGGATCTGGTTCG